AAAAGTTAATTTCCTAACAAGAATTTATAATACAAAAATTAAAAATCGACATGGATATGAAATGCTTCTAAAGTAACTAGTTGTAGGAAAAACCCTACACATCGAAAACATATTCGAATATAAGGCATGCAGTTATGGTCTCCATAAGTGTAACTTTTATTAGGATGTTAATAAAAATACAATTAGTTTTAATACTCAATGAAAATAGGATGATTGTTTTTGAAATAAAACCTTGAATATCTTTATAAATAAGCTCTTTGGATGGAAGAGCAATATCTGCATTGATTTATCATGTGCAGATGTTGAATTCTGCAAATTGTTAGGTTAGGTTAGTATCTCTTGTACTTAGTAACCTTTCAGTAAAATCATTTATTATTATTATCATCATTATATTGACTTATATATTGAGGTACCTTGATATTAGTGTTTATTTGTGTAACTGCCATTTTTTTATTCTTCCAGATCTCAAATATGTGAATAAACATGGCAACAACCATCGATAGTGGAACAGAAACCCTCTTTTCCGATGAGTCTCCATGTGAGTTGGTGCGTTCGCCCAGTATTTGTTCTGGAGATGAAAGGGAACTGCAGATGGATGACACGCAGTCCATTAACAGCAGATTGGCGCCGCCAAACATTCAGCCATACAGCGGAGTACTAGAAAAGGTAGGAAAATTTCAATCCATAGAACTTGTTTAATTTTCAAATGAGATTTCTTAGAATTGCAGATAATTTGGAAAGGGCTTCGACTGTAGTCATTTGCCTAGGTTAGGTTGGGTTAGGTCCAAAGTGAGTGGAACTATTCGACCCTCCACCGCAGCCCGCAAAGGTTCATTGTGGCTCACATCTATTCACACTCGACCAAATAAACTCAGCTTCTTAACGAAGCCGATTAGTTTGTATGGTGAGTGGTCTTTCAGGTCAGATGTTAAGAGTTCGGCTCTGCCGAACTTTGAAAACCAGATTCGGTCCCCAGCGGGGCAGGCACAAAGTATGTGTTCTGCTGTTTCATCGTTTTCATCGTTTTCTCGGACTGTCTTTCGACAGTCCGAGTCTCTGCATATGATGATTCAAATGACAGTGACCTGTTAGAAGGCCTGTTAGAGATCAACTGTAGTCCAACAACTATTTGGTATCAAACTTCGAAGGGTGAAAAAACGCCTTGGAGTGAGCCAATCCTGGATGATTCTACCAGAAGTCCATGAATCTTCTTGCCATCCAGGTATTCAATCCTTGTTTGGCAAAGCCAGGTTCTGGTCCGATGAAACTGCTTGCATCACCCTCCTTAGCAAGGGAGTCAGCAGCCTTATTGCCTTCCAGGCCAGTATGGCCAGGAATCCAAAGCAGAGAGTTGTTTTTGGCAATCTGCTACCAATTTTGACGTTACTCGATAGGAGCCAAGAGCTTCCAATGACTGTCCGAGAAAAATTTTATAGACTTGTGTATGAGGTTGGATTCTTCCAATATCTCCGCACATAATTCAATAGCGTAAATTTTTGCTTGAAATACAGTCACATAGGTTCCTAGGCAGGTTGATATCTATGTCCTAGATCTACGACTGAAACCACTTGCACTAGAACCTGAAACTATTTTCAATCCAACTGTGAACCAACAACTATCTGCTCTTAAGAATTCCTTTCCCCGGAGGATCCAGTCCTCTCTACTCGGAAACAGTTGGAGGTATAAAGTCAGAGGTCATTTCCAGTGTCAGCCAACAGTCTGTTGCTCTCTGCATTGAATAGATTTGTGCAACTGGCAATGTGCACAAGTCTATATGCAGTCTATCTAGCCTCTCTCCAGAAAAATGTGGAGAGGAGGTAGATCTAAAAGAATCTTCATGGCCACTGACGGTGTGGTACTGATTGCACCTCTGATGGCCAGATAAGCCTGTCTCTGTAAGCCAGAGAACTTTGCCTGGGCCGTTTTCTGTGAAGCCTTCGGCCACCAGGCAATTGCACCGTAAGTGATCATTGGTCTGACAATTATCACATAAAGCCAATAGATTTGTTTGGGGCCTAAACCACAAATTTTACCACAAAACCCGTCCTTAAGGACAGTATCCAAGTGTACGTTCAAGGTGAGTTTTTTATCAAGGACAATGCCAAGATATTTCACCACTGTTCAAAATGGAATGACTCCACCATTGAGGAAATGTGGCGTCAGATCGTCCAAATTTCTCCTCCTGGTGAAGGGGATTATCACAGTTTTGCTGGGGTTGACAGACATCTGCTTCCTCAGGCACCAACTGTGAACAACATCCATCGTTCTTTGAAGGATATTACAAGCTACCCTTCCCGGCGAGGACCTTGCCAAGATGACAAGGTCATCTGCATAAGCTTGCAGATCTACTTTCTTCTGTCGAGGGCATCAAGCAGACTATTCATGATGAGAAACTTTTTCAAAGATAGGTTGAAATGTTTCATATTGGTGATAAGTTTCAAGTCTTCAGGCAAAAAATTGAACAAATATGCTCCAGCATATAGAGGGCTCTTTATATGTTGCTTTCTTTGCAAGTTTCTATTAATATTTTTAGCATTCTTATGGGTCTTTAGTCCACGTCTATAGTCCAAATCATATATTAACCTTATGATGTTACTACTAATGATTCTGTATATTAAAGAATAATATACGTTTACTAGGTGGTGCCTATGAATACTCGATTTCAGAGTAATAAATGCAAAGTACAGCTTGTTGAGTTTTTTACATAGAGCATCAACTTGTCTATCGAAAGTTTTTTGGTTTTTTGGTCTAGTTCGAGGCCTAGGAATCTCGTTGATTCTGAGTTGTGAACTTCTCTGTTACCAACACTTATTGATAATTTATTACTCCGCTTTGAAGTACTAGTGAAGTCAATGGAGACCATTTTTTCTGCATTATTGATGAGGTGATTTACTTCACACCAGTATGTAAATTCTTTTATTACAGTATCTATTTTGGTACTGTGCCTGATTGATAGTTTTAGCTGTAACAACGATTGTTGTGTCGTCTGTGTATACGGAAGTACGTCCTTGACTGATGTGGTTAGGAAGGTCGTTGACATACAGCAGAAATAGCAGTGGCCCAAAGACCGCACCTTGGGGTGTGCCAATCTGTATATAAAAATTTTCGGAGAACTGCTTCTCAACCTGCACCTTAATAGATCTACCGGACATATATGACTCGATCCATTTTTGAATTGGACCTCGGATGCCTAGAGCTTTGTTCGAATTCGACACCTCAAAAACCTCCTATTACCAAGTTTCGTTTAATTAAGTTCGGTATTTCAAAAGTTATTTGAAAAAAACGAAAATAAAAATAAAACTTCAACATCCTGTATCTTGGAAACGAAGCGTTTCCGGACATTTATTTATTTGGACAATTCATATTGTGAGGAATCACCTCCTGAAGTTTGTCAAAGTACTTTTGAATCACCCTGAGATCTGCTGAGGCTGTTTCGACAGAATAGCCAGGTCGGAATCCAAACTGTCGTGGGATTAATAAATTATGTTTAGTTAGATATGATGTTATTTGATTGTAGACTGCCATTTCCATAGTTTTGGAAAAACACTTCAGCAGACATTTATCATTCTCTAGTTTTCCACGCACTGGGTATCCCCATTCTTGAAGACCGGAACTGCTTTTGATATTTCCAATTTATTTGGAAACACTCCACTAATGACAGTGATTTATAATAATGGCTAATGTACTTGAGATATTGTCAATGAACTCTTTCAGTAGAATTGCTGGTATTTCATCTATGCCAGTGGAAAATTTCTTTTTCAAGCCTAACAGGAGCAAAGGACATAGAATTCGGAATTGTGACGGATGATTTTGTGATCTTGTTTATATTGTTCATTTCAGGATCTATTGAATATTACTTCAAGAGGAAGATTAAGTTTAATCTTCCGCGATTTTCTTTGAGATATGCACCTCAATTTTGCGACATGAGTTTGCTTTTTATTGTGCAGTAAATACATACCTCAACTAAACTAATCAGCGACAGCTGGTTAACGGAAAAACAAGATTTTAAACAGATTTAACCCACAACATTCCTTTGTGATTCGAAAAGTTCCAAATTTACTGATGAGGATGAAATGTTCTTTTTTTCTCAAGTGATTCTGGTTTTTTTCAAATCGTACAATTACTTACCTGACGCACTAGTACGGAAAATAATACTCCTTTCAGCAGGATAGATAATCCAAATAAGGGTGCATTTCACACACTCATAGGAAATTCTTGGGTTGAAATATTGAAAACATCTATAGTCTATTTCAAAAGAGTGTAGAGTAATAAAATCTCATTAAGTATTCAAAAGCGCTACAGGGTGATCCGTCAATAAATTCTGTCACTTCCCTAGTCCGCATTGCAAAATTATGTCGTTTCATAAAGAGCAGGTAGGTATCACCCTGTTTTAAGGGATTTGTCCATTGTTATCGACGGATAAATACTGAGCCAGAGGCGCGCTAGTGGGATAATTGCCAAAAGAATATGCATTCATAAAAATTATATTAAAGGAAATAAAAATTTAATACAGCAGAACAGTGTTATTAAAAAAATATAAAATGTAACAATAAAATATATACGAACCGAAATCGGGAAATACTCACAAACACACACGAACGAACTTTACGTATTGAAACACTTGTGGGGACTTTAAATCAATTTATTCACAAAAACGACAAGAACTTTACTGGATACGTTATTACAATTTGACACTTGAACAATACTAAAACTGTGAAC